CAGTTTGTGATGCATGTCAACAAGGAAAAGTCACCAGCTTCCTTTCTCCGAGTCGAGTCGTGTAGTGAAAAATCCACTTGAGCTTGTGTTTTCTGATGTATGGGGTCATGCCAAACTTCTGTTAGTGTCCACAATTACTATGTCAGTTGTATTGATGCTTACAATAGATTTACTTTGCTTTATATTATCAAGCGCAAATCTGATGTGTTCGATATTTTTATTCAATTTCAAGCACATGTTGAGTGTCTTCTCAAGCACAAAATTATTCATGTTCAATCCGATTGGGGGGGGGGGTGAGTATCACAACCTCAATGCGGTTTTTAATAAACTTGCGATTAGGCATCGTGTTCTTGTCCTCATACACATCAACAAAATAGTGTAGCTAAACGTAAGCATCGTCATATTGTTGAAACTGGCCTCACTTTCCTTGCTCATTCCTCCATTCCTTTTTGGTTTTGGAGTGATGCTTTTTCCACTGCCTGTTTTCTTATTCATAGGCTTCCTACACGACTTCATCACATGAAAACACCACTTGAAGTCTTACTCAATGAAACTCCTAATTATACGTTCCTTGAAGTTTTTGGGTGTGTGTGTGGCCACATCTTCGCCAGTATAATAAATGTAAACTAGAGTTTTGGTCTAAAGAGTGCATATTCCTTGGGTATAGTTCCCCTCACAAAAGGTACACATGCCTTCATGTTCCCTCTAACCGCTTCTACATTTCTCGTGATGTGGTGCTTGATGAGAACGTTTTTCCATTCTTCGCACTTTCGACTACTCCCACCACTCCCACTCCACCTATGAATTCAGTTTTACCTTTGCCTGGTCAATTTGTAGATGATGCGTATACCCCTACGCTGTTGCCTAACCATGATGCGGGTATTGGGAGAGGAGCACGTCTTGAGATCCTGGATGGTCAGCCGGTGGAAGTCCCTCGGGAGTCGGGTGTTGATCACGATCGGGACGTTGACCGGGTGCATGTCCCATGCACCCTCGATCATGGAGCCGGCCCGACTGTTGCTACCCCGAATGTGCCCTTGCTATCCGGCCCACCATCTGAGCTGCCCCCAGGCCATCTTCACTTGGGCCTCGCCTGGACCTCCGTCACCATGCCCTCTTGGCTCGCCCGTCTCTCCCGCGACGCCCGCGGTGTATGACGCATCTACGTTGCAGGACGCCATCACGTCGCCAACGCATGTGGCCTCTTCTGAGCCATGTGATACGTCCGTGTCATCATCAATACCGGCCACGACTTGGTCTCCGACACCACCACTTGCGCCTACTATTGTTCTGCGTGCTCGTACGTGCAGCCAGAGTGGCATTTTTTGCCTGCGAAAGCACATTGATGGCACGGTTGCATGGATTGCCGCGTGCGTGGCACAAGCTGACGCTAAACCCATTGTCAAACCTTAGAATTTTCAGGCTCCTCTTCATATTCCTCACTGGTGCTGTGCTATGGAGCGGGAGTTTCCGGCACTGAAACAAAATGATATTTGGCGACTAGTTCGTCCTATCTCTGGTGTCAATATTATTGATTCCAAGTGGGTGTTCAAAGTCAAGAAAACATGTTGATGCTCAAATGAACAATACAAGGCACGACTAGTGGCCAAGGGTTTCAAGCAAAGGTACGATCTTGACTATGAGGATACCTTCAGCCCGGTTGTAAAACCTACCACCATTCGTCTGCTCCTGTCTTTGGCTGTTACCAAAGGGTGGTCTCTACGTCAACTGGATGTTCATAATGCCATTCTTCATGGAGTCTTGGAAGAAGAGGTTTATATGGGTCAAACTCCGGGGTTTGTTGATCCTGCTCGTCCTCATCATTTGTGTCGCCTTGTTAAGGCGCTCTATGGACTTAAGCAGGCTCCCCGTGCATGGCATGCGCAACTTGGCCCCGTTCTTTGGGCTCACGGATTTGTTTCGTCCATTGCTGATACGTCATTGTTCCTATTTCACCGTCCTGAGGTAACTATGTGCATGTTGGTCTATGTCGACGACATTATTCTTATTAGCTCCTTGGTTGTTGTTGTTGATCATCTACTATCTGCTTTGAGTGGTCGCTTTGCTGTCAAGGATCTGGGCACTTTGCATTACTTCCTTGGTCTCGAGGTCTCATGGTCTTCTGCTGGGTTGACTCTCACTCAGCACAAGTATTTCCTTGACTTGTTGCGCCGTGCTGGTATGCTAAAGTGCAAACAAGCAACTACTCATATGTCTAACATTGATTGGTTGTCGGCTCTTGATGGTGATCCACTTACTTTTGACGATGCTACTAAGTACCGCAACATCATTTGTGGTCTGCAGTACTTGACTATCACCATACCAGATATCTCCTATGCAGTTAATTGTGCGTGTCAGTACCTCCATGACCACATGACTTCACATTGGTCAGCTGTCAAGCGCGTATTGCGCTATCTCTATCTTACTTCCTCCTATGGTCTACATCTCCGGCCTACACCATCCTTTGCTCTCTCGGCGTTTTTCGATGCGGATAGGGTTGGGGGTCCTAATGATAGGCGATCCACGGGGGGCTATGCAGTCTTCTTTGGTCCTAACTTGATCGCCTAGAGTGCTCTCTAGCAAGCCACCGTATCTTGCAGTAGCAATGAAGCTGAGTACAAGGCGGTTGCTAATGTCACAACGGAGATTATATGTGTACAACCCTTATTAAGAGAATTGAGAGTCTCTCAAGGTCAACCACCGGTCCTTTGGTGTGACAATATTGATGCAAAGAATCTTTCATCTAACCTGGTATTCATGCTCGGACGAAACACATCAAAGTTGACTATCATTTTGTGAGGGAACGCGTTGCACAGAAGCTACTTCACATCAAGTTTATCTCCTCCAAAGATCAACTTGCTGACATCTTCATGAAGCCACTATCAAAGCCTCAATTTGAAGGTTGTAGGCGCAATCTTAACTTGCTGTGTACTTCAAGCCATAGTTAAGATTGAGGAAGAGTGTTAGACTGTATTATACATAACCTCTGTACAAGTCCTTGTATCTTGTATTGTACACTTGGCGTACCCCTATATATATATGAGATAGCCACACCTGTATTAGGGTGTCGCGCAGTTTGCCAAACCCTAAGTTTTACAAGAGGGACATGCATGAGCCACCAATGATGGAGTCAAATCCAACATATCTCGGGTAGGGGTTCCCAAGTTGGTAGCCTTAGCATGATAGTAATAGGTGACACAGTGATTTATCCAAGTTCGGGCTCTCTCGAAGAGATAACACCCAACTGATAGATGTTGTGGATCACTAGGCTAGATTAGATCGGTGGTCCTACCTTCCTCTTGTGGCCCGAGGAGCTCCCGGTGCCGGCCATGCTGATGGTGGCCGGTGATGGCAGAGAGTAGCGGTGGCAGTGCTTCCCATCAGCACTGCTCTAACCCTAGATCAGTAGGGGATTTAGGTGGGGTGTATGGCGTCACGACGAACCTCGTGTTGCGAGCCGCCGGCCCCCACCTCTTTATATAGTGCAGGTGACAGGGGCCCATCAACCATAGTGGGTTGAGCGCCCCCGATCAGGGCGCGAATCTAAGGGCCTGGTGGGCCATTGGGCCCACACGGTGGAGATCATCCTAACACCAGCATCCTACTTGATTGTATTGATTTGGAGGGAGTAGGAGTTACAAGTTGATCTATCACGAGATCGTGTGTATATGAGAGGGGTTTTTTGTCTACAGTTCTCACCCCTCGGCTTATACAGATGCCAGGGGGTGCCTAGGGTTTACATGGGTTGGTTACATCTAAGGGTAGTCACTCCGAAGACGACCTCTAAGCCTTGGATTATGCGCCAAATCTTCGGGAGTTATCCACCTTGGAGCTCCTGGGCCCAACGAACGCGGCCCACTAGTTAATGATCTTGGGGGTGCTCGGCCCGACTCATATGGTCGGGAACCGATGTGGCAAGTACCCCCTAGTCCAGAACACTATCATCAATACAAGAAGTTTTTGGCAGTGAGTCTAGAACTTTACCCCTTTGTTATCTTGGCCTCTTGATGTACTTTTGTGAGCTCCTGAATAAGTAATGAAAGATCATTCAATACTGCGTTGTTATCAGGGCACAAAATCTACATATATTTTGAAGTCTCGAGTCAAAAAATATATAGTCCAATGCAAGTCGTCCGGTCACTAATTGTTATGGGAGGCTCTGAGCTTTTGCCATCTTTCCATGTTACCACACGTTTTTATCCCATTTTAAGACGTGTTCACATCCAACTGGGAGGTTTGTTAGGTTAAGTAGTACAACAAGAATCTTGTTTGCGAGTTCACTTCTTATCTACTCACGTAAACTTAGGGCTTGTTTGGGATTGCTCTGCTCTCTAAAATTCAGCTCTACTCTAAAAAGCGCAAGCCAAATGGGGTAGCTTCATAATGTTCCACGCCATAAAAAACTTGAAACTGATGTACAATTCCTTGTTTTTCGTGAAGCACTTCAGGGGATGCTCCAAATAGATAAATTGTTCTATGTTAGAGTGCAACTCTTGGGTGAAGCTGCTTTAAAGTGGATTTGATGAAATGGAGCTGATTTTCACAGAGCGGAGTGATTCATGAAATTGTCGACAACCTTGATGTGATTGCAACTCCGTGCATGGTTGTGTGCATTAAGTAGTGTAGGGTGGTAAGGTGAATACTTGTTGTGAGTCATTGCAACGACAGTGGTTGGCCTCGATATCGTTAGTAGCACCGTCACCCAATTACATGGTGCAAAATAACTATGTTCGAGTACAATCAACAGTTATTTCACTCGTTACACCCGTTAAAGTCACAATACTATATACATATGTGGTCTTGGACACTTAAACTGTTGTGCTAAATAGCAAGTCGCGTTCTTCAATAGGCGAGAGACCGTCTCAAGCATTCAGCCTTTGTACAGTCCCCTGATCATTTTGGTGTATCCTTCCATAGTTCCATACTTCAATTTTCTTATATTTGAAGTACACAAAGCCAATACATTCATTCCGTGTATACCTTGATAGGGTGCACGTTACTTAGACGTTTACTTGCTCAAGATTGATCCTGATGATCTCGCCATCTTCTGCATTTTCCTGGATGATATCCATCAGCTTGGGCCTACTGATCCTTAGAACCTGAGATAGCTTGGCTGTCCGGAAAGTGAACGGCTGTGGCTTGTTGCACAGTACCCCGATCTCCCCTAGCAGTCCTCCCTCAGTCGCTTTTCCATAAACCTGAAAGGTGCACGTTATCAGTAAGTACGTTAAGTACTTGAGGGACCAACTTTGCAGATTGCACTCTGCATTGCATGTTTTTTTGGTCAAGTCATGAACCCGGGAAACAGTACCTGCTCTGTCCCATCTAGGAACGCCACAATATCCTGTCAATGAAGATGCAGATTGATTAGTAGTAATATGCAAGCCCTGCAAGGTCTGTGAATTCAAGATAACGTGGTAAATCCATAGGATTCTACATACCACTTCTCCGGTCACAAGAAGGTGTAGGTCCGATGGGTACTCGTTCTGCAGTATGATGTCCTCCTTCGGGGCGTAGTACTCGGCCACCATCTCCGTTACCTGCATAGTTCGAAACAAATTCAGAATTTGTGAGCTATTCCTACCCCTTCAACCGTAAGGCTTTACAAGTTTCTCACCAGTTGCTGGATGAAGCTTGGGGAGACTCCCCTGAACAGGTAGGCGCCCTGAACCACCGGGAAGAAGAGATAGAGCGATATGCTGGATCTCATCGCCTTGGGGAGGATGTCCAGTGTGTCCTGCTGCTTGAGCCCCTCTGCCTTGAACCTCAGGCATATGTGGTTCAGCATCTGCTCCTCTATCTGCCGCGGCAGCTGGTTCCTCGCCGCGAATTCCGTGGCAGCCTGAACCATGTCCCTCTGCATTTTTGTGCATGCACAAGCCATGATCATTCACGGCCAAAGATGCATCAGAGCACTGCAGTGGTACGAGGCTAGCGTTTATAGTTTGGAGTGGAACGGGATGCATATATACGTACGAAGTCTCTGGTGCGGCTGGTGCTGTGGACGACGAGGTTGGTCATGTTGCCGATGAGGTAGGCGGTGAGCCAGAGGTTGAAGAGCATGTAGGAGATGCCGAAGAGCATCTCCCTGGCGTTCTGGGCGTGCAGGTCGCCGTAGCCGGTGGTGGTCATGGTGGTGATGGACCAGTAGAGGCACGTGACGTAGCGCACCCACAGCCCGTCCTCCCTGAAGTCCGGGTGCGCCGCGCCTATCCAAGTCCTCGCCGGGTCCGGGTACCTGTCCGCGATCAGGTAGTTGATGCACCCGGCGCAGTGCACCGCGAACAGGGTCACCTGCATCATCATCCGTGGCGCATGCACGCATGCATGAGGAAGAAGAACTACTACTACTACAGTACTCCTAGAAAGGAAGAGAGAATCTGGACGTACCGAGATGAGCTTTGTGCAGCGTATCACGGCGTAGTTGAAACGGATGTCCTTCTCAAGCCTACGGAAAGGAATAAGAGAATCATCATTGTTAATTAAGTTGCACGTACTGACCAGTGACCTTTTTTAACTTGGTATATATGCCAAGTGCACAGTGCTTATCTGCATATGCTACTGTGCTAGTAGTACCTTGCAAACAAGGAGCTGACTCTGCGCAGCCGCCAGAGGCGAAGCACATTGAGGAACTTGAGGCCGAGGCTGTGCTCGTGCCTGGTGAAGAGGCGGGTGATGGAGCGGAATGGAACCGTGGAGCAAACGTCAAAGATGAACCAGGTCGACAGATACCTGCAAACCAAAAAGAAACAAGGCAGGATCTACAGGTAAATACAGTAGTGCATGCATGCGTGTCTGAGAGATTAAAGTCTCGACACTGAGGGAGCACGTAGTAGCAGCAGCACCTGAGTGCGATCTTCTTCGGATCATCGACGACAAGGTAAGACCTGTTGTCGACATAGGGCACGAAGAAAGTGAGCAGGATGTCGACCGCGAAGAAGCCGTTGACGACATCGTCCACGACAAAAGGCGCGCGGGGCAGGTGCCTCAGGAACGCGAACTCCAGCGGGCATATCCACGCCGAGTACACCACCAGCAGGATCAGGAACGTCTCCCACACCCTGCACATCAACGATCGATCGATCACCTTCACCGCCCGTCTATCTAACAGTACGCGACTGAGACAAGCAATCGTGCGTGCGTGCGTGCGTACCTGTAGCGCCGGCCGTAAGGCGAGACGAGGTACTTGCCGGAGGTCGGCTGCGCGGCGGCGGTGGCGCCGAGCGACGGGAGGAGATCGTTGGGGCAGCCGCTGAAGTCGCCGGTCCTGTCGCCGTCGTAGCATGGGAAGCACCGCGTCACCCGTGACCCCGTGCGAGCGCGGGAAGAACGTGCCATTTCGCTCGCTCGCTCGCTCACTACTGGAGGTGGACTGCTTAGTCTGTAGCTAAAGGCAGAGCGCGGAGAACTGCAGAGGGATGCCGCGACCGCGCCGCGTATTTATACCGGCCGGAGCGGCCGAGCGCGCGCGAGCCACCCCTTTGGCTTCCCGTTACGTTTCGTGGCTCTGACCAAAACGGTTGTATGGAACGGGAACACCTTTAGGAAGGGAATACGATAACTCGCCTTTGGTCTTGTCACGGGGCAGCCGAGACATGCTGATGGGCCGGCCAAAGTCGCGTTGGGATCGCCTCATGTCCCGTGCCCCACGTCGCCTATGGACTTGTCGATCCCAGATTGCGTGCCCTGGCCAATGGTGGCGCGGCCATTACCGATCCAAGTGGTGGCGCACACGCGATGTCAGGTTTCCCATTGGGCATAAATCTCAGTTGCAGGCAGTTATGCCATGACAATCAGATTAGAAAGGCGCCTCATGAAATTTGTTGTTTGTCCTTTTTGATGAGGCTGAGAAGATGCTTTCTCTTAAGTGGTACAAATAATGCCATGCAAGACATGAATTGCAAGTTGGCCAATTTCCGTCATGTCAAATATTAGGTAATGTTTTAGTCTTGCGCATTTGCTATTCACCAGTTGCCTCAAAATCCAATTCGTGCCGGTCAATTTTGCCCGAAGCTCCGAGGGGGGTGACAAGGACTCAACATCGAGGTGGGGGTAGCAGGCGAGGCTGAGCTAGATGCGACCCGGAGCCGGGGAAAACCTGGTAGTGCTGTCACCGGTGGAGGGGAGTTGGAGGTTGATGGGTTCAGGAGAGGTGCAAGGAGGTTGCCAACAATGGAGATCGTAGGGGGGTATAGAGGGATGCGGGGGCGATGGAGGCATGGCGGAGGCCCTGGCTTGGACTGGGTGATGCGTCAAGGCGCGTGCGGCAGATGGCGCAGTTGGTGAGGCGAGTGATGTCCTGCAAATGCCATAGGGTACAGTTATAGTCTTCTGGAAGTAAGAGTAGATCCCATAAAAAGCTTAGAAAATGGTTTTTGCATCTTGTAGAAGTTTATTGAAAAGTTCGTGCAAGTCATTTGCGATCCAAAGCAAAATAGTTGTGAAGGTGAAAATATTACAAGTGTGTCTAAATGAGAATTGAAGTGCCCTAGAAAAAGTAATAATTAGCAAGAGAGTAATGGAAAGTGGTGGAAACTGTAATTGGGCTAAAAGCATTCAAAAGGAGTCCGGATTTACCACTGGTATGTTTGTTACTTAATCGTGCATAGACATAATTTTAGGTTCAGATACAAAATACATGTTACATGTTTTCAGTGTGGGTAGAGCCAAATAAATATACGCCGCATACTGCCGCAACTCCGTGTCACATATGCCACCACTATCCATCTCCTTGTTGGGTGGAAGCGATGATGATTACGGGGCTCCCCGTGGATGCGACATAAGGCTTTAGGGTCCCCATTATTGCCGCTATCAAAGGTCGGCAAAGGTGGGAGATAGCTTTTGTCACCGCAGTACCTCTGCATCACCACGTCCCAGTTATAGTAACATCCTTCATGTCCATTAAGGCAAATGTTGTGCAGTCGACTTTACACAACATCATGAAGAATAGTTAACCTAAACATATAAAGAAAATATTGTATCTTACTGGAGTTGAGCTCATAAACATACTAGGGTTCCTCCATATCCCCAAGAACTAGGGTTTTACTTAGACATAGAGACAATAGACATTATCATGGTTTTCGTGGATATCAGAGATGACTGATGACTAATGTAACACATGTATGAATCCACACTAGTGTTTGGTATTAAAACGAGATGAAATGGATCGGAGAGGTCGATGTCGAGAATGTGGATGATGATGATGGTTGTGGTGGTGGTGATCATAGTCTCCTTGATCGAGGTGATGGCGTGACATTGCCCTTTGCAGATCACCCACCCCCTCTTAGATTCCCTTTGGAGGTGAGGTTTGTTGCTTTTGATTCATGGTCCTGGCCTCTATGTTCGTCATCTACCAGATCCAATCACACGGAGATGAAATAGTTAACCAGGATGACGTGATGCCTGACGATATGAGTGGGCGATGCTTGTACCGCACTCTAGCTTCCTCTCTGGAAATCTGGCATGGCTGGTGTTCTTTCCACATGGTCTTCTCTTTGCTTGGTAGGCTATTATGACGTAAATTAGCATGATTTTTGCCCAGAAATATATATTTTCTCATCAATGCTCAAAATCTCCTCCTTTAGGAATCTGGTGAAATCAGGAAAAGGTTGTGCAAAAGCAGTAAAATTCCAAAATCCTGCAGCTATGATGCTAAAGTGAGGTGTAAAAACTGAAGCAAAATTGACTCATCAAATCCCCCCAGTTTAGACTTTTGCTCATCCCCGAGCAAAAGATCACAGTTGAGAGAACAGGGTCGTCACGTTCATGAAGCATGAATTATTTCAAACGGATTAATATATTGCATCGAAACAATAAATATAAAAGATATTGAACCAACATGAACACTCTTATATTCCTACTGTCAACATAACCAAAGTGACTTCCACACCTTTAGTGATTGATTACTTGGAGGAAGGAGGACAGTCCTATGAAATAAATTATTACAGAAACAAACTTTCCATTCACTTTAGATTTAACACTGCTACTTCTTGAGCTTGCGTTGGTTTTTCCCTTGAAGAGGAAAGGGTGATGCAACAAAGTAGAGTAAGTATTTCCCTCGGTTTTGAGAACCAAGGTATTAATCCGGTAGGAGACAACGCTCAAGTCATCGAATACCTGCACAAACAAACACCAACTTGCATCCAATGCGATAAAGGGGTTGTCAATCCCTTCACGGTTATTTGCAAAGTGAGATGTGATAAAGATGGGTAAACGGTAAAGTAATATTTTTGTTTTATGGAACAGAAAGTAAATAGGAAACTAAAACAGTAAATCGAAAACTTATATGATGGAAAATAGAAGATTATATGACGGAAAATAGACCCGGGGGCTATAGGTTTCACTAGAGGCTTCTCTCAAGATAGAAAATATTACGGCGGGTAAACAAGTTACTACCAAGCAATTGATAGAAAAGCGCAAAGTTATGACGATATCTAAGACAATGATCATGAATATAGGCATCACGTCGGTATCAAGTAGACCGACTCCTGCCTGCATCTACTACTATTACTCCACACATCGACTGACTCCTGCATGCATCTAGAGTATTAAGTTCATGAAGAACAGAGTAACGCGTTAAGTAAGATGACATGATGTAGTGGGATAAACTCAAGCAATATGATAAAAAACCCATCTTGTTATCCTCGATGGCAACAATACAATACGTGTCGGTTCCCCTTATGTCACTGGGATCAAGCACCGCAAGTTTGAACCCAAAGCTAAGAACTTCTACTATTGCAAGAAAAACCAATCTAGTTGGCCAAACCAAATCAATAGTTCGAAGAGATTTGCAAAGATATCAAATCATGCATATAAGAATACAGAGGAGATTCAAATAATATTCATAGATAAGCTGATCATAAATCTACAATTCACCGGATCTCGGCAAACACACCGCAAAAGAGTATTACATATAATACATCTCCAAGAACATTGAGCAGAACATGGTATTGAGAATCAAAGAGAGAGAAGAAGTCATCTAGCTACTAGCTATGGACCCGTAGGTCTATGGTAAACTACTCATGCTTCATCGGAGAGGCAATGGTGTTGATGTGGAAACCCTCCGTGTTCGAATCCCGTCCGGTAGGACCCCGGAAAAGGCCCCTAGATGGGATCTCACGGGTACAGAAGGTTGCGGCGGTGGAAAAGTGTTTTTGTGGCTCTCCTGGTTGGTTTGGGAATATTTGAGAATATATATAGGCGGAAGAAATAGGCCGGTGGAGTCATGAGGGGGCCACAAGGGTGGGGGCACGCCCTCCGTCCTTGTGGCCGCCTCGTGGCTTCTCTGACTTGCACTCCAAGTCCTC